ATAAACTCGGTCATTGCCTGTCGGCCGGCCATGGATTGTAGCTTCTGGGCCATCAATCAGCGCACCAATACTTATCTACTATGTTTTCCTAATTAGTTCCCCCGAGATTACGAATGAATCGTCACGGCAAGTAAAGCAAGAAAGGTAAGTTGACGAAAACTTCCACTGACAATGAAAAAGTTTAACTCCGTCACGCTATAAATAGTTGGTGAATAATTCCTAGGGGAAATCTGACGGATTCCCCGAAAAACGTTTTGTGGGGGCTAGCCTCTTTTGGAAATGTTGCACCATCCCATTTCCCTTTCCAAGTTCCTTCTTCCACCTTTTCCTTTCGTATCCCACTTCTCCCTTCCCTACCCGTCTTCCCCTCACCCCTCCCCCTTAACCCTTCCCCCGTCCATTGTCCCCCTTACCCCCTCCCATTTCCCCTTCCAACTTCCTCTTCCCACTTCCCCCGTCCCCTTCCCCGTCCCCTTTCCGCATTCATCTAAATCAACCCCATTTTTCTCCTCTCGCCCCACCTACAACTAAACGCCTTGTCCTGTCTTTTCTTCTCATCAGGATCACACGTTTGACCCAGTACTTCATAACGAAAGTTTACCAAGGCAGAGAACGACGCGGAACACCATAAGTCGTGTAATTAAGATCGACTTTATTAACACAATGAAATTTAATGAGGAGTAAGAGTAGATAGAATTATCCAATATCAGTTACAAGTATAACTATTAGTCTTAACAAAAATAAACAGTTATTCCAATGTGTTATCTGTCATTAAACTATTGGAAATGTCATAGTTCTCAGCACAGTTACTGACGACCCTCCCTCTCCACCTCAGCACAAAACACAAACTGTGCAACTGATAGAATCTTGAGTTAATCTCAAAGACGATGCCCTTAAAAGATATACTCACAAAGAAACCGTTTAAAGGGCGATCGTGTTGACTCAAGAGAATCAATCCCCCATACAGGCCTTGTTCTCAAGTTAACTCCCTCTTAAGTTTAGATTAGATTACCCCAACCTGTTTTCGCGCATTCTCAGGAGCCTCTAGATAAATCCAATCCTAAGAAGTGGATTTTTCTCACGTGGACGGCCCAAGCGGTGTTCACGCATTCTATTCCTCCATAAAAATATCCACGCAATGTGCGTGGTAACACCATCCGCGCGCGGTCGAACTGGTTACCATGTAAACATAAGTCATGAGGGAATACCTTGAGAATAAGCCCTTTGGGGGGGGGGGATAACTCGCTAATTCTCTTAGGTATAGCAAGTCATCTTTTGCATTTTGTAAAATGATACTTTCAACTCTAAGGAAACGTTAAACGGAAAGTCGACAATGGCGAAATCTGACAAGAAAAAAATAGTGTTGAAGATTGGTGGTATGTAAAGACAGATAACAAACTTTGTCTTACTGTAAGACAAATAACGAACTTGGAAATTATTCAGTAGTTGTAAGTAATTAGTAAATGTTCGCAACAAAGCTTTTTTAAAATCTTTCACTAACTCTGCAGCTCTCTACCACTCACTATTTCGGTTCCATTGTTGGAGCTGAACTAGCTCTTTTGAATTTACAGTTCACACTTGCTGCACAACATGCACCGTTTCTTTATTGCTGATCATGCCGTTGTAAGAAAATGCAAGTATTTTCAAAGTTTTCGTTGGATTTGGATCGTACAGCAAATCAAACTCATTGAATTGAAGCATACTTACTAGGCCTTTTTCAATAGGAAACAAAAACACGAAATCAATTTACCTTATATTTACAAATGCTATTGTTTACGTAAAAACGATTTCATAAAAGATCATTTGAATGACCCAATATTCATTCTTACAATGCGTTAGATTCTAAAGACGTTTTGCTGTTCCTTTGCTAATTTCTCTCGCGACAAGAACATAGTGTTTTTGCTTTCCGTCACTGGTTAGGAAATGCGTTTTATTTCTATTCACTTCCTCCGACCCACACAATTGTGCGAGCCCCCTTAATTCCTTCCACCATTCCTCGCATCTCCTGCTTCTCGCCATCTATAATAACAACCGCGTCCTCGCGTGTCGCGGGCGTTGCTAGGTAACGAACGTTAGACCCACAACCAGTCACCATAGGTCGTTGAGTGTGGACCCAGTCCCTCACCGACGAGGGCTTACCGACTGTGGAAATAAACTTAACGATGTGTATGCCTCTTTGATCAACGTGCAGCACTATTATTGCCGATTGATCCTTTGACGTCACGTATACGTCATAGCCTGCGTCACGTGGGTGGAAAGCGAGGTCGCTGAGTAACAGATTAGACTCGATTTCTTGGAACAGGTAAATCTTGCCTGCTGGATCGACGTACCGGGTTAAAATAGCGTAATAATTCAATGTGATGATAAAACGGCCGTCAGGGGACGCGAATGGTGAGCCAAAATGCGTTGAATCCACGGCTATCATTTGCCTTTTTTCTAAATCCATCACTATTTGCGCTTTGGTATCTCGCTCTTCGTTGGTGTAGCATTGGACGAACGCATATCTGTGCAGCTGGGACAAAGCCAAGTCAAACGTCCCGTAGCACTGGTAATCACTGAGATTGTAAAACTTCGAGTACTGCTTGGTAGCCAGGTCCACCTCATGAAGGCCAGGTTCCATAACATGAGTGACGTAGCCATACTTGGTTTCCTGGTCTGTCAACTCGCAATTCTCCTCCACAAAGAAGCCATGCGCGCGCCGTGGGTAGCTGTCGATTATTTGTGCCTTGATTGACGTGTGTTCAGTCACTTTACTAGCGTCGTTTATCACCGACAATGTTCCGTTGTCGTCCTCATCCTCGGTGAGGACATCCAGGGTACTGTTCTCCCAACACAGGGTCCACACCGCATCTAGGGACCTTTTGAGTAATCAATCAATCAATCAATCAATCAATTCAAGCAAGCAATTTATTAATTGTTTGATGTTTCCTGTTTGTTTTGTGTAGGCCAAGAAAGTTCGGCCGCGTCCAACTGTACTCAAATTGAAGGTTCTATTAACTGGGTCGCATCGAGAAGCGTTAAAGTATGTCAAATTGATTCAGATCATTTCTTGAAATCATGATTAAGGAGATTTTAGAGTGGTATTCCCTTTCTGAAAGGTGTAATCAAAATCTAATTTCTGCTTGATATTTCAATACAAAATCATTAGGTATGTCATAAGAATATCAAGAAATTGATCGCGAACTGACACTTATACCAGGAGTACTACTTTAAATGGGCTATATAGGTAGGTGCTGCCCCAAAGGGTATGGCTTTTGGGCTGCTTTTTTCCACATCAATGTCGGCAAATGGAAGGTCTGAAATCGAGTGAATGAATGAATGAATGAACGAACGAACAAACGAGCGAACGAACAAACGAGCGAACGAACAAACGAACGAACGAACAAACGAACGAATCTGAATGAATGAATGAATGAATGAAAGACCGTATTAAAGTGTCAATATTTGTATCGATATTTGGCTCGGGTCCGAAATAGGGTGTTGAAAATCACAGATTTTATTCTGAAATTGGGTACAAGTTTCATAGTTCGGGCCGCACACCCCCATTAAAAACTTTGCAGTGTACCCCATCTTCAGGGCTAATACTACACTTATCAACACCAGTCAGGATAACTTTAATATTACACAACTCGCCTGACATATTTCAGCTGGTAGGGATAGTCATCTGTAGTTATTTCTTGAACAAATTTTTGCGTCACAACATCCAGCACTAGGACTCTTCGCCCAAGAAAATCCGCCGCGTAGATGTATTTGACACCGACACTTACCGCCCCACCCCAGTTACACGCCTGCTGTCGACCACTAGTGCAAATGGGCGACGTTGTACCGTTTATGACGTCATCAGCTGGGATGTGATTGACAGTGGATGACGTTTCAGGATCGATGACGTAAACACCGTCGTTTGCAAAGGCATAAAACAGGTTAGACCCTGGTACGGCTGAAGAAAAAGAGAAAAGTAATTATATATTTTATTGAAAGTATTCAAAAGCTGATACTGTTTTCATATATGGAGAAAGTTTCCTAATCGGCTTTGTATTGATATGAAGTAGGTTTTACGTTTAGCCTTTCGCCTAAGTGACCATCATTAGTTAGAAATTGGTTAGCCAACCTCGATACCAGGGTCAAGGAAGGCAAAGAAGAGAGAGCCTGGGATCGAGGTTGCTGATTTGCAGTCTGCGTTGACACCTGGGTTTTGGGTTAAGTTGAGAAGGAACGAGGACTAAACACGACATTTCAATGGCTATACCTGGAGCTTCAGTGACTGGCTCTTGGACATTAATCACCACTTTTTTCTGGTCCTTCCCCAAGTCATTTGAGGCCTCGCATGTGTATATCCCATTGTCACTCACTCCGAGCCCCTTTATAAAAAGTTCTCCGTCTGGGTTCGTCGAAATGCGGTCGTTAGCGTTCAGCTGTTTTTCATCTTTGCACCACGTGATCGTAGGAACAGGGTAACCACGCACTCGACACCGAAGAGTGAGATTAAAACCAGACATGGGCTGCGCATCATTTTGTAGAATGCTAACTTCTGGTTTGCTCGCTGCAACCGCCACAAATCATATTTCAGTAAAGTAATACACCTTGTTTTTCAATTCTAAATTACGAGAAATCTAAGCTCGCAATTTACAGCCTGCGTTTAATGAGGGCGTCCCAGGTGGTTAGCATGCTCCCTTGGTCTTGAAATTTTCACTTTTTCTCCCTTTTCTTCCCTATTAGTAAAGCCCATCGTTCCCTATTTTTTTTAATAGTAGGGATATCGCTTGCTCTTCAAATTAATCCCAAAGATATCCCTTGATACCCGAAATAAGTCATCATGATCCCTTGTTACCCCAAACCCCTGGGAGGTCCTCTTTAGCACAGTTTATCTCACCAAGACTCTGTGAAAATTCGTCTTTGGAAAGGAATCCATCGAAGTCTTTATCAGCAGTGTTTAACCACTGTGTCGGATGACATTTGTCTGCGAGTTCTTTGATGTTGCTGTACATGAAGTAATCAATAACCAGGCTTTTGAGCTCGAAACTGCTGATGCTGTGATCGCCGTCCCTGTTATACCTGAAGAACAACTCGTCAATCAGGATTTTTGAGGTCACTTCCTTGTGTAGTTCCTTTTGGAAGGTTGCTAAAATCAGCTGTTTCATTTTCAATAAGTTCTCTTCGGGACAATCTAAAATCAAACATATAAACATGAATATTAGTATTTGCGAGGGCAAGCACTTGAAAACGCCCGGCGAATTCCCTCCGCAAAGGAGTAGCGCGGCTCAGTACATATTTTTACAGTCCGGGCGATACACAATAAAAAGAAAAACACTAGTCCCAGTCTCTCCCGTAGACCAAATTTTCTGCATTTGCCTGTTGTTCTATTGTTTTCACTAGTTCCATGTATTTATTCATGCTATGTAGGTTACTCTAGGTAACACCTATTGTGTAAAATTTGTATATTATTTTGTATATTCAAATTGACTCTAATTGTTACTGACGATGACAGAAGTTACTCAGTGCCGAAACATGTATTTAAAACTGAAAAGCGTTGATATCAGCAGCCTGCGGTTAACAAGACCAATCATAATGCAGGGAATCGTATAGACAAATTATTTATGGCTCGGACTGTTTAAAATTAACGCTAAAATGGCCAATTTAGATTTCTAACGTACCGTTTGATTTAACTTGTTTCTTTAGACACTTCAAACCCCAGTCCACTCTGATTTTCTTGCCAGTAACGCAGGCGGCCCTGTGCAACTCGCAGTGGTTGATATACAAGTGTCCGTCTGTCCCACACACTGGTTTGTGTCTCTTTTTACATTGAGACGCACAGACACACACCTCAGTGCCGTCTGACTGAATCTGGCATTCTCGACCGGAAGGACAAGTCCGCCAACAACCTGTACAATTGTACGTAAATGAAGATCATTCGGTGCATTATTTTTTTCCTTTTCATTGGCTGAGAACCCCACCACATGACCCGCAAATGAGTGCCTTCAAATACTAGAATGGTCTGCTCATGCGTAGTACCGTCTAAATGTGTTTTGCTGCAACTAATATTCTGCTCATGCGTAATTGTAACCACGTTCTCAGTTGTGTAAAAAATGACAGATCGCTTCCCTAGGCTGTCATAGAATGAAGTAAATACAAAAACAAACTTGGTGATTGAATGATAAAACAATTGTTGAACTAGGTTATCGCAAAATATCTTGATTTGTCAGTGTTCGGCCTTCACGAAATTTTGCTCACCCTCGTTCAATAATTGTTATAATTATTCAAGGCTCGTTTATTAATTAAATTGAACAATGCTGTTCAAATGGTGGACGCTGAAAATAAGAAACAAGCGCGGACACGAAATGTTTTTCATGTACTTTGTATTTAACTTTCTTTCGAACTGAGCTGTGCCAAGGTGTGTTCTCTGGCAGCAAAAACAGCCAAAAGAGTCAGCTGGAAAACGGTGCGGTTTTTAATTATGTCGCAAATAATTTGCATTTGCCTTAGTTCTGCGTTACCACGCAAAGCGATTGGCTAGAAAACTGGCGCTACTTTGTCATCCAATCAGAAGTAAAACCATGACCATCCGTGACGTGCTCGCAAACGTTTTCCCGCGCTTTGCGTCTGCCACTGATGTAGTTGCTACAAGTTTTGATTGGCTTACTGGATTGTCGGTGTGCTGTGTGATTTCCAGAGTGATTACTTTGGTTTTGGTTATACGACGCTCAATTGAAAACTGCTTTATTTACAACGAAATCCCAAAAGAGAAACACGTAAGCACGGTAACAATTTTTGTAACTCATACCTCCTTATGGGGAAAAGTGGTTGGGCCGGCTTTCAATGCATTCTAACATCACAACACAAACAAGTTCAAGATACTCACGTTCTTTCTTAGTTAAATTAATTTTCCGCTCTTTTCCACCTCCATAAACCTATTTGGAAAGAATGAATACAGAATTTCAATTGGTTGATGATAATTAAAAATGTTACTCATTAAAGCTTGTACGTGTTATGTGGCAAATATATTTAATCCTTAGATGACACAGCAAATATTTGTCAACATTTCAAAGTTTAGTGCGCCAGTAATCAATGACTTTCGACAGCAGAGATACGCAGAAAGAAGGCGGGGCTGATAAGTCGCCCCAGAAAAACATATGTGAACATATTTGCCACTTTTTATGTGACGAGTCGTCTACACGAGCACTTTTTGGTATGTGACAACTTTTATTTGTCACATAAAAGCTAACAAGCCAGCTTTTTAGCAAATACATTTATCACATAAAATTGGCCAGATTTACTCGTCTACAGGAGCGAATAAGGAGCAAATTGTCACATGAAAATTGGTCGAGTAGACCGGGCATAAAATTCAAAAATGAGAAACCATAAACTGCAAGGGACCGCATACGATAAACGCTGCCAACGTAGGATCTACAAGAGATCTGATCAGCCAAAAAATGTATGAAGACAAGCAATAAACTGCAAGGCTGATACTACGTGAAAAACGTTTCGAGACACCAACATGACAAG